TTCAAGCATTGATATGGCTTCATTTGAGGATATTTATGGCTGGAGGTGTAGATCTCCTATAGGTTGGTTTGAAGTTGGTGAGGTTGCTTTGATAGGTCCCGAATTAGTACACGAGGCTATTGAGCAAGTTTGGCTTATTAGAGAAATGCTGAAAATGGCTCACAGTCAACAAAATCCATATGCCGATGTTAGAAGAAGAGATCTTGAGTTTGATGTTGATGATTGGGTTTACTTGAAAATTTCACCCATGAAGGGTGTAATGAGGTTTGGAAAGAAAGGGAAGCTTAGTCCTCATTAAGTGGGCCAATATCAAATTTTAAGGTGTATTGGTAAACTTGACTATGAGCTTGATTTGCCTAATGATTTAACATTCGTGCATCCAGTATTCCTTGTCTCCTTGTTGAAGAAGTGTGTTGGAGATCCGACATTGTTGTTCCCTTGGAAAGCTTGGGAGTTAAAGAGAATCTTTCTTATGAAGAGGTTTCAGTTGAGGTTTTAGACGGGAAAGTCCAGAAGTTGAGAAACAAAGAAGTTGCTTCTGTGAAGCATTTGTGGAAGAATCAGTTAGTTGACGGTGCTAGTTAGGAGGCCGAGGCCGATATGATGTCCCGATACCCTCATCTCTTTCCCTCTGTCTGTACTCTAACTTGAGGTATTTAGTTCCTCATGGATCACTCTTTTGGTCCATTCTTATATTTCCTCATGCATGCATGCTCATGAAAATCTAATTTTGAATTTTATGATCTAGCTCGAAGTGATTCTCCATGTTCATGTGCATTAGGGTGTGAGTTGCATGTATGTCTTATGAAATAATGTTTTAAATATGTTTTAGCTTGGAGTTGATTTTCCTCCTCGGATATGTGCATTTATGTGATTGAATTCATGATGGGTTGTTAGTTTCTCTCATACTCTATTCATATCAGCTTGAGTCCTATTCGAGGAAGAATGTTCCCAAGGGGAAGATATTGTAACACCTCGGGAGTTAGAAAGTCGAAAGAAAGGGTAGTGCAAAAATTTGTCTAAGAACTGGTTTTACGGGTCCAACCTACGGACTGTAGGAAGTCCTACCGGCCATAGGAAGTGAACCGTAGAACCAGGCTAGAGTTTTTGTAAAATTAATTCCCAATATCTTTTTCTACGATTGACCAGTACTGTTTGTCATCCTATGTATAAGTCGTAGATAGGTCTCGTAAGTGAGTCCTAGACTTGGTGAAATTAAAAGTCAAAAGGTTGGTTTATACGGTCCATAAATGGACCTCCAAACCATAGATTATGTTCATCAAAAGTTGGCCAAATTAAGGATCTTTGATCATTTCTACAGTTGACCAGGACGATAGTTAATTTTTAGGGGATTTTAAGTCTTTTCCCTAATTGATTAATGCCTAAACTAGGTCATTTTGATATTAATCCTAAGCCCTATATAAGTCTCTTAAGCCTAAAAACTACGCATTCTAAACCTTTCTTTTAAGTTCTTAAATTCCCATCACCCCCAAACTTCCCCTCAAGAACTAAGGAAGGAGAAAGCTAGGGTTTGGCTGGAAGAACTCCAATTCACCATTGATTGTTAAGGTATGTTATCATTCACCTATGGATTCCTTTCCTCCATAGGGTTCCTAAAATCTCCAATTTTGTAAAGGTAGATTCTCAATTCAAGTTAGGGTTTTACTCAATCTTCATGGTTCCTTTCAATCTTGATCAAATTGATCATTTTCTATTTATTTATGCATGAATTGAAGTAATTATATGATTTTTAAGTTAAATTACATGAACATATGCATGATCCATGATTTTTAGACTATGAGATAATGAACTATGAAAGAGGAATTTATGAAGATATGCATGTTCTTTCTATGGAATTGATATAAATGATTAAAGCTTACTTTGGGAGTAAATCATTAGTATTGTTGTCGTTGTGAAAGGTCATTCTCACATAAAGGATTCATAAGGTTGAAAGGTTTTCTATCCTACGTTGAATAAAGATTTAAGAGCTATTCTAAACGAACTCTAGCTTGGATTGGTTACTTAATGGTGCCTTCCCATGAATATCATAGTCTTTTATATATTCAGATCAGTATTGGGCATTCCCCACTTTTAGTTATCACTGTTTAAGCTTTCGGATAGTATATTTATTCTGTAATCTTTTTTAGTATGCTTATGATAGGCCAACTCATGGTTAACTTGGGGTCACACGTGATCCTTGGTCCCGTGTTTTTTTCCCCGGGGGTAGCCTCGGGGCGTGACATCACCCGTCCTCATTTAGAATCCTCGTAAAACAACATCAACAATGAATCAATAAATCTTTCCAATCATTCTCAACACATCACATATCAATATATAATCAAGTTGCCTTTTATTACCTATTTTTCCTCATTATGATCATTCATTATAAACAAGTTAACCCATTACCAAGTCTCATTACTCCCCAACACATACCACAAAGAAATACATGATTATATACACCTAACAAGGATCGAGAAATCTTCTTGCCTCAAACAATCAAACAATTACTCCGGGACTTGAGTCTTCCCCTTTCATTGGGCTTCCAAATCAATGAAATCTATTTAAATAAATAATCACAATAAGATTTCAAAATCTAACAATGCTCATATTACTATATGTGACCCAAAAATCCCCCTAATCTTAATCAATTTCCTATATTTCAAGTCTAGGATTAATTTTTAAATCCTTCAATAAAATAAATCTAATGGTATTTATATAATATAATACACATAATTACTTAATTACATATACCAATATATCAAAACTTAAATCATAATATAATAATAAGAAAATAAAACCTCAGTTGGTCACGAAAAATATTTTGCAGACCTAACTATTCACGTATTCCTAATTCCTAATGCATACTGCCCAATTCTCTAATGGAAATCATTGCCAATTATTAACTTTTGATAGCAGCCAAGAATTGATAAAATAGTTAATAATATTAAAATTGTTGTATCAATCAAATCTTAACTTTAAGTCGGTAATGCACAATTCACAACAACACAATCATGATATGCGAATTGAGGAAGAGTAAAGAAATAAAGAGGACCAGAAAACTCACCTGCGGCGGCATCAAACGAACAACAGTGCACTGAACTCCCTTGAGATAGGAAAAAAAAAGAGTGAGGTAGTGGACAACTAAGAAAGATTATCTTTTCAAGGCTAGAAGTGCTATAAAGGAAAGTAGGTACAATAAGATCCAATTTGTTTGGACTCGTTAGGTTCGCCCACGGGCTCGGCCGAATCGAGCCGCCCAGGCCGCAAGCGACAAAGAGGCAGATTCTCAGACTGAAGAAGCAGTGGCTACCATTGCTGAAGTCCAGGTACTCAAATTCTCATATAGATGGAAATTTTTTATTGTTGATTGCATGGGGTACTCAATATATATATATATATATATATATATATCAAGCAACTCGAATGTCAAATTAGTCAACTTTCAGCACAACTAGACTCCAAGCCATTATAAAGGTGTGCAAATGATGATATGGTGGATTCAAAGGCTGATCATAACAGATGCTTAGCGGTGTTGACCCAGAGTGGGAAATTAGCAGGTGGTGATGTGAAGGTGAACGATGAGGCAATGACTAGTAGAGAAGATGAGGACGCCATTGATGTAGAGGGATCCGACCAAGCACCAAAGAATGATACTCCCAAAGAGGTTGAAGAAAGTCCAAGGAAAAGCACCAACGAGGAACTGCAAGTACCTAAGGAAGGGGCTTCTTCTTCTTCAAAGTTGGTAAAACCGATGCCCAAAATCAACCCACCATTTCCTCAAAGACTCAAAAAGCGGTTTGAAGATGCAAAGTTCAAGAAATTTATATCCATGTTCAAGACTCTGTCAATAAATCTTCCTTTAGTGGAAGCGTTGTTGGAAATGCCCGTCTATGCAAAGTTCATGAAAGAATTGGTAACCAAGAAGAGGAGTATGGATTTTGAAACAGTTGAAGTGTCTCATAGTTGTAGTACCATCATGAAAAGCAATGTGGTTATCAAGAAAGTTGATCCGGGTGTGTTTACTATTCCATGCACTATTGGAATGCTCCAATTTGCCAAAACATTATGTGATTTGGGGGCTAGTATTAACTTGATGTCATACGCCATTTACAAACAACTTGGATTGGGTGTACCTAAGTCTACAACAATGCGACTCCTCATGGCTGATTGATCGATTAAGCATCCCATTGGCATACTTCATGATATTTTGGTGAAAGTTGATAGGTTCATATTTCCGATTGATTTTGTTATTTAGGATTGTGAGATTGATGTCAAAGTACCTATTATTTTAGGTAGACCATTGTTGGCAACCGGAAGAGCTCTTGTGGATGTTGAAAGTGGTGAGTTAAAGTTTTGGGTAAATGATGAGGAGGTTACTTTTAATGTGTGCAAATCAATTAACCAACCTAGTGACATTCATGTCGTCTCAACAATTGATATGATTGATGAAGCAGTAACTAGTGTGAGTGAAATGATGTGTATGGGTGAACCCCTTGCTGATGTCCTTTCAAATTATAATGAGGAAGAAGTTCAGGGGTATGATGAAGTTATGGATGCTCTATCGGGATTAGGTGCCCATTCTAAAAATCCATTTAAGCTCGATATTGATATGAAAATTTGAGAAAGTACCCCCCCCCCCACTAAACCATCCACGGAAGAACCTCCAAAGCTTGAGTTGAAAGTGCTCCTATCTCATCTTCACTATGTATTTTTGAGAGAAAACAACACCTTACCAGTCATCATTGCAGCAAACTTGCTGAGTGGCAAGTGAAATTGCTTGTTGAGGTGTTAAAGCGATACATTAAGGCCATAGGATGGACAATTGCTGATTTTGTTGGTATTCCCCTCGAGATTTGCACTCATAAAATCCAATTGGATAGTGAATGCAAACCAAGTGCTGATCATCAAAGAAGACTAAATCCACCTATGCAAGAAGTGGTGAAGAAATAAATCATCAAGTGGCTAGATGTAGGTGTGGTATACCTTATTGCGGATAGCAAATGGGTAAGTCTCGTACAATATGTACCAAAAAAGGAGGCATCACGGTGGTTCCAAATGAGAAAGGGGAACTTGTACCTATGAGGCTGGTCACTGATTGGCGAGTATGCATGGAACGAGAAAGATCATTTTACAATGCCATTTATGGACCAAATGCTTGATAGACTTGCGGGGCGTGAATTGTACTGCTTTTTGGATGGTTATTCCGGATACAACCAGATTTCCATTGCACTGAAAGATCAAGAGAAAACTACTTTTACATGTACCTATGGGACTTTGGCTTTCAAGAGGATGCCTTTTGGGTTGTGCAATGCTCCGGCAACATTCCAACGATGTATGTTTTCTATATTTGCAGTTATGGTAGAAGACTCAATGGAGATATTCATGGATGATTTTTCAGTCGTTGGTGATTCATTTGAAGCATGTATTGAACACCTTGGGAAGGTACTACAAAGGTGCGTAGAAACCAACCTAGTTCTAAATTGGGAGAAGTGTCATTTCATGGTAAAAGAGGGAATTGTTTTGGGGCATAAAATTTCAGCAGAAGGAATGCAAGTGGATCAAGCGAAGGTTGAGGTCATTGGCAAGCTCCCCCTACTATTTCGGTAAAAGGTGTCCGGAGTTTTCTAAGCCATGCGGGCTTCTACCGGCGATTTATCAAAGATTTTTCCAAAATAGCTCACCCTTTTTGTAAATTGCTAGAGAAGGAATCTACCTTCCATTTTGATGACGCTTGCCTCAAAGAGTTTTTGTTCTTGAAAGAAAAATTAGTGTCGGTCCCAATCATTATTGCCCCCAATTGGAGTATCCCGTTTGAATTCATGTGTGATGATAATGGTGTTGCTTTGGGGGTTGTTCTTGGTCAAAGAAAAGGGAAGTTATTCCATCCGGTTTATTAAGCAAGTAAGGCACTGAATGTGGCTCAAAAGAATTATACATTCACAGAGAAAGAACTGTTAGCTGTGGTGTATGCATTTGAAAAATTCAGAGCATATTTGTTGGGAACTACAGTGGTGGTGCACATGGATCATGCTGCCATTATATATTTGATGGCTAAGAAAGATGCAAATCAAGACTGATTCAGTGGGTGTTGTTGTCACAACATTTTGATTTTGAGGTAAAGGATCAAAAGACGTGTGAGAACCAAGTGGCGGATCATTTGTCTCGGTTAGAAACCAACTTGGTTGATTCTAATAAGAGAGACAGTGTGGTTGAATTCCAGATGAAACCGTGATGAGGGTTGATATATCGTGAGTTTACGATGTTTCTAATACATTTCACTTACAAGTTGTGTGTGTCTAGGGCCTTTTTGTATTGGTTTTTATGTGTTTTTATCATATTTTGCAGCAAAAATGTTCAGACGCGGAATTAAAGAGACAGTTGAAAGAGGTGCAGAAAAGGGAATCTACGGAGGTGATCTACGGACCGTAGGTCCATTGACGCTCCGTAGATGGTGGTCGTAGATTAGAAGCCAAGGCATGGAAGACAAATCAGGGAAATCTGACCAAGTGTGGAACCACGGTGACCATTGACGGTTCGTAGATTGATCTACGGGCCGTACAGTTAATCCGTAGATTGAGACTGCGAGGGTTCCAGTACCTAATTTTTGAAGATTCCAAGTGTGGAGCTACGGAAGGGGATTGACGAATCGTAGATTGATCTACGGTCCGTACTGCAGTTCCGTCGTTTGCTTCAGAGAAGCTGATCTTTAGAAATTGATATATTTTCTAAGTCCTGGCTGACGGAAGGGACTCACGGACCGTAGATCCATTGACGGTCCGTGAGTCAGTCTCGTGGAACGAAGACGCGTGCCTGTAACAAACTTTCCTTATTTTGTTTC